CTCTTGTGTGGAGGACTGTTTGAGAGCAACAGATTTGTGTTCTTCTGTTTTAGCGCTCAAATGTTATTGTTGTTTGTCAGGATCCCTATCTGGTTTATCGAAACAGCATTGCCGGATCCAATCGCAAGCACAGAAGCCCGCAATCACTGCAGACTATGCGTGAATGCCGCTGGCATCCGAACCTCACATATTCACCACCACTGGTGGAGGGAGAAGTCTGGATGTCGGAAGACTCGCCGGTTATACCGGTGGCACGTCAGCAGTTGTCCTTTCTCAGCAGTATTTGAAGTTCGGATGCCGGCGAACTCCGTATTTTCCCACAACCCATGCTGCAACCAAGGCCATCCAGTTCCAGCACGAGACTGGTGGACGAATGAAGTTCGCCAACATTCGAACGTCCTGTTTTGACTGGGGGGGCGGACAAAAGAAGTCCGCCCGCATCCGAACTTCATTGATTTGCCTTTTCCGCCTCCATACACTGAACACCGCCCTCAGGCGGCGTGCAGTCCTCCTGTGTTCACACTTTGCACATTGTAGTACGCCGACATCCGAACTTCTCATTTTTGCCACCAATTGCCAGGTCGAAGTTCAGATTCCGCTGGACTTGGCGGTTTTCATGGTATTCTGTGAGCAGTTGTCCTTTCTCACCACTATTTGAAGTTCGGATGCCAGCGAACTTCGTATCTCCGCACAACCCATGCTGCAACCAGGGTCTTCCTGGTCCAAAAACGACGGGGAGGACAAAAGAAGTTCGCCGGCATCCGAACTTCAATGATTTGCCTTTTCTTCATCAAAATAATAAATGCCGCCCTCAGGTGCCATGTAGTCCTCCTGTGTGCGCAATTCACAAACTATAGTGCGCCTGCGTCCGCACTTCACATATTCGCCACCCGAGGCCCATGTCGAAGTTCGGATTCTGGCGAACTTGGTGGTTTTCATGGTAGTCCGTGAGCAGTTGTCCTTTCTCGGCAGCATTTGAAGTTCGGATGCCAGCGAATTTCGTATCTCCACACAACCCATGCTGCGACCAGGGTCTTCCTGGTCTAGAACGGGAGGGGAGGACATAAAAAGTTCGCCGGCACTCGAACTTCAATGATTTTCCGTTTCAGCATTAAAACAACGAATGTCGCCCTCAGGTGTCGTGCAGTCCTCCTGTGTGCGCACTTTGCACATTGTGGTGCGCCGGCATCCGATCTTCACATATTCGTCACCCGAGGCGTATGTCGAAGTTCGGATACCGGCAGACTTGGTGGTTTTCATTGTAGCCCATGAGCATTTGTCCTTTCTCGCCAGCGAACTTCGTATCTCCACACAACCCATGCTGCTAGCAGGATCTTCCTGGTCCAAAACGGGAGGGGAGGACAAAAGAAGTTCGCCGACATCGGAACTTCAATGATTTCCCTTTTGTGCATCCAAACAACGAAGACCGCCCCCAGGTGCCATGCAGCTTGCGGTTCGCCGATAAGAGAAGTTCGCCGGCATCCGAACTTCACGTTTTGACGGTGGTGTTGAAAAACAATTCCTCCCCAACACCTTCAAGAAGAGCCAAACAGTTGGCGGTTGCCTTGGTGGATTGGCAAAAACACTCTTCAGGACCTCGGTGCGGGTTCTAGATCCGTTCAGTGCAGAGATTCGTGTTGCCTGAACAGATCCGGGGCTCAGTTGCCACAAGGTGCCAGTCCCGGTTGGTGACCCTTCTGGTTGGATCTGGATCTGTTTCGAGCAGAGTTTCACGCTCCATAAACAAAATTCCCCTCCAGTTCCCGCAAGTTATCAGTTGTTCGGGCAGTCTTTTGGAATGCTCAAGCGCAACTGAGGCGAGTTTGGTGGCCCTTCTTGTTGGATCCGGATCTGTTTTGAGCAGAGTTTCGCACTCCACAAATAGAATTCCCCTCCGGTTCCCGCAGGTTATCAGTTGTTCGGGCAGTGTTTCGGGATGCTCAATCGCAAGTGGGGCGAGTTTGGTCGCCCTTCTTGTTGGATCCGGATCTGTTTTGAGCAGAGTTTTGCACTCCACAAACAAAATTCCCCTCTGGTCCCCGCAGGTTATCGGTTGTTCAAACTGTCTTTCAGGATGCTCAATCGCAACTGGGACGAGTTTGGTGACCCTTATTATTGGATCTAGATCTGTTTCGAGAAGAGTTTCACACTCCACAAATAGAATTCCCATCCGGTTCCTGCAAGTTTTCCGTTGTTCGGGCAGTCTTTCGGGATGCTCAATCGCAGCTGGGGCGAGTTTGGTGGCCCTTCTTGTTGGATCAGGATCTGTTTTGAGCAGAGTTTCACACTCCACAAACTGAATTCCCCTCCCGTTCCCGCAGGTTATCGGTTGTTCGGGCAGTCTTTCGGAATGCTCAATCGCAACTGGGGCAAGTTTGGTGGGCCTCGTACTGCGGTCTGGGGGTAAGAGAGGCGGAGTCTGGTGGCCGCACGCCGTTATCCATCTACGATATTATCAGGTGAACTCATCAAGTTCGCCGGCATCCGAACTTCATAGGAAGGCTGAAGACGGATGTGAATAAGTGCGGATACCGGCGGAGTCGGTGTGCCTTCTTGTCGGGTCCTGGGGTGTAAACGGCAGAGTGTAGCAGTCTACAAGCGTGAACAGGATGTGAAAAACTGCCGTCGATTTCGTCAAGTTCGCCCGCATCCGGATTTCGCACAAGCGTGAATAGGATGTGAAGAAGTGCGGATGCCGGTGAACTTGTTGACTGTTCGTGCAGTCTATCGTTATGTTTGTGCGCTGTTGGTACTAGTTTGGTGTGCCTTCGTGTTGGGTCAGGGCGTGTGAACTGCAGACTCTGAGTCCAACAGTTAACAAACCGTCTCTCTCGTTATCATCACATGTCGTTATTAGTCCACGCCATTGGCTGGTGAATTTGTCTAGTACGTCGGTATCCGAACATCCTACATATGCCTCTTTTCTATGTTGCTTTGGGTGCCGATACCTTTGATGTGCTTTGGTGGTGCGTCACATGTGGGTCTGCGGAAACCAGAGCTCTCTACTGGGGTGGGTTATTTATCTCTTTTGTGTGTTGGGTTGTTTTAGTCTCTTGGACCGATGCAGGCACAATGTCGACATCAAGGGGCGAGGAGCAGCCGACCGGAACCTCGGGCAGGGAATCACGAACCTCCAAATCGTGGTCCTATCATGTGCATACCAAATGGTTCGTCTATTGGTGCTGCGAGGATGAGTCTGAGCCGACGAAGCCTCCGTGCGGTCCAGTTATATTCCTGGAGGACAAAAAAAGGCGTAGAGTGCTTGGGGCGGTTGCCGGATGACATGCTGCGAAAAAGGACAACACCCAACATTATGAGCTGCACACCGTTTACAACCCAAAGTGCGACGTTGTTGCCAATTCCAAAAGGGCGGGTTTGTCTTTTGACCCGTTCCAGGGGCTTGGTGCGGGGGATGTGAAAACCCCTTCCTACCAAGACCTTGCGGGGGGAGGTGTTGTTTCTGCATGATAGTTTTTTGACTTGCTGGAGCAAAGCAACGTCGACCTTGAGGAACCCTGCCACGTTCGAGGCGACCAAGAGTTGTCGCAGCCTCTTCGAATGTGCACCGGGTTCGAATCCAGCGGTGCTCCAGCGGAAGGGGGAAATTTGGGTTCCGGTTTTTCTTTCCAGCTCCACCGAGGCGAGGCCTGTGGTCGATTCGACGACAACGATGATGAAGAACAGGAGCAGACGTGGACTTCGCCGCTTAGGCGGCGAGACCGGTCTTTCCTCAGTATTCCTGGGGTGGAAGGACACACCCCGGTTCACGACTGGCCGGAGACGTCAGTCGGGGGGGGCGAGGAGTGTGAAAAACAGCCAGCGCATAAGAGAAGGGGAGGTCCTCCGGGAGAGGGTGAGGGATCTGCGAAAAAACATAAGGCAAGGACCCCCCAGACGGCGGGGGGAAAAAGGAAGGTAGTTGAGGGGGGAGACGGCACATCGGGTCGGAAACAACAGACGTCGGCGCTGAAACAGCCTGAGTCGGTTGCGGTCGAGCCGAAGGGTCCAATCGACATCGATGCCGCGTACTTCCTGGAATGGAACGAGGGCATGCGGACAAAGCGGGAGTTCTTCATTAACCCATCGCAGGTCGTCGGCATCGGTGAGTGGGAACGGTCGTACAATCAACGGTCCCTGGATCCCGTGCACACACAGCTCATCATTGACGCGATGAAGTTGGCCTTCTCAAATGCCAAGAAGACGTACGAGTTGCCTACCCTTAAGCTGGCGCTGCTAGGGTTGGAGAAACCTGTGAGGGGCGTACGGGTAGTTCGTCTGAAGCCAGAGGACGAGAAGGACGAGCTGGCACGAAAGTACTATTATTACGCTGTTTGCGGGCAGCACAACGCGGTGGCAGCCACGGTGCTGCTAGGAACCAAAGTCGCATTGAGATACAATTTTGAGAGGTGGCATGCTCGTATGGTTTACTTCTCGGACGAGGACTTCGAAGGGTATTTTCTGGTCAGCGCGAAACGCTGGACCCCCGCAAACGGCACGGGCTGTGGGCGGGGGGTCCAGCGTTTGTCAAAAGCGGGACCCCGCCTACTCCCGAGGCATTGGTGGGGTCCAGCGTTTGTGAAACGCTGGACCCCCACCAATGCCTCCGCCGGCAGGCGGGGTCCAGAGTTTGTCAAACGCAGGACCGCCGCTGGCATGTGCCCTGCGATTGCTTTTGTTTTTTGCTATGTTCCATCTCGTGCCACAAGAGATGGAGATAGGTGACATCAATGCATCCCTTTGTTTTGGATATCTCCTCCAGGGAGAGGTCGTAAGGGTCCGAATGATGCGGATAAGAGGTACAACAACAAGTCGAAATTGTACCGCAACAAGTTGTTGGCGCTCGACTGGGTCGGAGTGGCCGGCGAGCTCGGGTGCGGTGATGCTGTGTTTTTAGTGGAGGACGAAGGGGCGACCTGATACTGTTGTGGTGGCATCATCTGGTCTGAAATTGACAGGGCCACTGCGGAGAAGGGTAAGGTCGACGAGCGAGATTTGAGAAAGTAGGTCATCTCGACCTTGCTCTGTTCAAGGGGTATGGTCAGAAGGTATTCGCTATGAAAGCCTTCGGCAGCAAGCGAGATGGGAATGCTTCGAGGATGCTGTTTCCGATTGAATTCCTCAGCAAGACCAATGGGTATAGGAAAAGTGGTCAATTCCCGACGGTTGCCTCTGGTCACCAGCTCGCGTTACCTCTTGTCCCGTTCGACGCTCCTGTTGAAAGTCTCGCAGGCTTATCAACGTGCTCTAGCGATCGGCGGCAGGTTGTGTCGACTCCACAACAACCTGTCTGCGGGAATGAAAAAGTCATTACTTACCAGAGGCGTTCGGGTGGTGGGTCATCCGGAAACGTTCCTAAGAAGAAGGTGCTCGCAAAACCTCCTTTGAATCTTCCGGAAAGCTCGCGTGCAGGTGCCAGCTCGCGCTCGCGGGACACCTCCCAGCGTCGAATGGACGAGGAGTCAGACGATGAGACGGAGGATGATAAACGGGTTCACCAATTGCATCCCCGGTCAATAGTGGCGCCAGGGCACACCCTGGGCGAAGGCTCTTGCGATGTGAATGCGGGGCGGGAAGATATTGGAGGTGACGAAGCCCTCCTGAAGGGCGATGGAGGATACGACAAGGATAAAGGGGAGTGTGGTAGTGGCGAGGACCACATGGAGTGCAAAAAGGTTGGGGTGCGCTGTGGCAGTATGGTGGTTCGGAAATGGAAGACGAGGAATTGGAAGATGAAGGAGGAGATGCCGGTGTTTCCGCGGGGCCTGCTTCCAAGGGAAGAGGAAAACGCCCAGCGCCATCGTCGCCGACGCGAGCTGCGCCTATGAAGCAGGCTCGAAGGAAAGTTGTGGACGAGGCTCGGGTCGCCTTGGATGTATCTCAAGGGACACTTGGTGAAGCCGATGTGAAATGCAAATCAAGTGCTCGGAATGGCAAAACGTTTAAACCCAAGAAGCCCGTGCGGCCATCAAGGCGCCAGAAATCGTACGACTTGAGCGACGATGCTGAAGGGGTCGCCCCTCGCTTGCTCTCCCTCCCTAACGACAAATAGCAGGAGACAAAGAAACCGAGTGCGGTCAACATGACGCTGTGCTTCTTTCTCGAGTACGACAAGGACGACAAAAAGAGAAGAGACCCGCCGAGGATGGTCATTGACGTTGTGGAGATTCTTCCGATTTCGGTGGGAGATACCGCCTTCAACCAGCGATCGATGAACCTGGCCATTGTTGCAGGCATCGAAGCGGCAATCGAAGCATCAACTCGTCCAAGGTCCGAGGATGATCCGGCTACGTGGGATCCACCGGAGTTGGTGCTAGCTCCGATTACGCCATCAGGGAACGAGAACGAATAAGGGATACGCGTCCTTCCTGAGGAATTCGACCCCGATAGGGCAGATGAGTATTTCTATTACTCGGTTGCCGGTCAACATACTTCCGAACCTATGAAAAGAGGACTGGCGAAGAAATCTGCAGCAGTGGAGGTGTTCGACTTTTGGAATTATGATCGTGTACGGATCATTTATTTCGACGACGACCATAAGAATGCGTACGCGTATGTTTTAATGTACGACAACACGAGAGCTGACCGTGCTATGTTCCCGTCATTCCACCAAGCCTGCGAGCATATCAGAGGATTTTCCGACTCGCAAAAATGGATCGGGTCTGTGGGGAATGTGTCCAAAGGGGATCCCAAGGGTTTGTCGCACCAGAAAACATGGAGGAAATTTTAGAGCGTGCATGGCGAAGTCATGTGAGAAATCACTGTGGACCGAGAGTTTGGCTCCAAAGTGGCAACAGGACTGGACGAACAGAATGAAGGGGTACATGAATGTCGCCACATGCAAGGACAAGATATGGCCATTGGTAAAGGAATTTCTTATGATTCACTGAAAAGGTGCAGAGGAAGAAGGAGGTGTTCCATTGCATACCGGCTAGGGACGGGGGACCAAACGCTACGGTGTCCTTCAAAGATCTTGTTCCGTCAAACTTCTAATGTTTTTGAGATATGACGACACGAGAGAAGGAAATTGCATTGCGGTTGATGATAAATAAGAAAGTCATCGCCACTACTAAACTGGTTCCTCCTGGGAAGTTGAACAAGACCAATCTCCTCGACATCATAATCCGTGAGAGATACATGATGCGTCTGTTCAACTACATCGTCTCGAAATCGGAGAACAGAGAGGCGAAAGAATGGAAGGACGGTAACTTCTTCGACTATGAAAAAGAGGAGGAAAGGTTCGGTGCGAAGGCAGCCGAATGGGATGAGGAAAGGGATAGGATCCCTTTGGAATACGCCCGAAGGGTTCCAAAAAGACTCGGCGGAGAGCAAGAGGAAAAAGGTCTGAAAGGGGCTGGCCTGAAGGCCACGAGGGCGTTGTATAGGGACGCACCTTTCCACTTCAAGTATTTCGTATACCATGCAATTCGAAGAGTGGACTTGCTAATAGATGAGTTGCGGCGGTTGAAGAACGCTGCGCTTAATCTGAGTTGGGAAAAGAAACAGCGATGGTCAACATTGTTACCGGTCAACATGCGCCCCAAGGAGTTGCTGCCCGCGGCCGACGAAATTGTGACTGCCGCCACGAACTTTAATTGCAAGGCGGCCATCCTCGATCTCGCCAACCCAAAGGAATGTTTTGCATGGTCGCCAACCGATTTCGATGCTCTGCACAAAACGATGACGAAATTATGCGGTGATAATTGGATTTTGATTGATTTTGCCCCGCGAAAACAACATAAGATCGTCATAAAGCAGCTTTACAACTGGGACAATGCGGAGGTGATACCCGAGACTTGGAAGCATTATATCAGGGTCGGGACGGCTGTCAGCAAGTACGGAAACTGGCAAGTCGATTATAAGGACATGATGGCGGTCGTCGTGCATGCTGAGGGCGGCGAACTCAAAAAGGTAACGAGGGCTCCTAAATTAGAGGCGGAGCTAGTAGAGCTAAACGTTGAGGAGGAGCACTTCAAGAGGTGCACAGCGAGGCACAGCGGCAAGGAAGAAAATGAACGAGAGGTATATGGGTGGTGGGAACGACATCCCAAATGGTTGCAGAAGTTGTGTAGTTCGTTTCTGCACGAGGATCAGGGGGTGATTCTTATTGGAAAGCCGCATGCTGGACTTGTGTAGGAGCTTCTGCGCGCTGGCCATCATGTTTTCGCATGTGACTCGTCGTCGAAAGACATTTCGTACTTGACGAAGGCCATCGAAATTCTTGGGAAAGATGCGAGAAACAATTGCACGGTTGAGAGACAGAAGACTGCGCATCGTCCGGATAGGGACATGTACCACAAGCTGGGCAAGAAGAGAAACAAGATCTGGGAATATCTGTTTCAAGCCCAACCGAAGTCGCCATTCGAGCAATGACTATATAGTTCGTAAAGCGATGGCACAAGAATCGTAGGGTGGCTACTATAAAGCGCAGGTGGGTGCGTTTGCGATGTTCATGGCGAGATGCAAACAACTCAAGTTCACAACAAATCAGGCAATGCAGACGTACGATGAGTACAGCAACATTGCGAAAACAAATGATGCATGGAATCCGATCGAGAGCAATGAGGAGACAGAAACCTCGGACCTCGAAATCGAAGACCGAATGAAACGTAATCGAGAGGGAATGGAAAGTGTGCGTGCGTGCAGCGTGCCGAAGGACAATCAAGAAGAAGGTTGCACGAAATCGGGAGGTGTGAGCAGTCCGACGCGTGACGTGACCGACAGGGCGAGTTCCATTGAACAGATGCAAACGGATTCGCTCACGCTCATCCAAGCACTTGAGAATATATTGATTCATGACAATCGTCAGGGGTTTCAGAGAAGGACTCCATCTCGAGAAAACACGGACAACGAAATGCTGGCAGATGCCGATGAGGATGACTTGATGGTTCCAAATGCCCTCCCGAAGCTAATGCCCGGTGATGATATCCCTGATCGCATTGTGCAGGTCAGTGAACGACCGTACTTCATTGAAAACAAGGTGCCAGAAACGACGTTTGAGAAGTGGGGGCATCACATTTTGTGGCATACGGACGTATTCGAGCCATGCATTTTCAAGGGGGAGTGGATGATGGCACTGCATCTAACATCGAGATGGAAAGTCAAACCAAGACTGGCAAAAGTACCGTGGCTGAAATTGGCGAAGAGCAAAATCGTCTTTCGTGTTAGGAAAGAAAACGAGGGAGCGGACGAGGCAACTATTGTGGAGAAGGCTCGATTGCTATTGCAATAACTACACTCCAACAACCGGCTGGAATATAAACACAAATTCTATGACTTGGAGTCAAGTCGGTCATATAAGAGCATCGATTGGAAGATCAAACTTCCTCAAGTGTGCCAAGGCGTTGAGACAATCCACTTGGGATGCTCACAGTTTGGGGGGCAGTCGACCACGCACTTTGCCACCAGTGTTGTTGAAGCGATGAGTCAAACTGCTATCAAGATAATGGAGGTGGACAAGGGAACACGGAATATTGACAAAGATCCTTCGAACGTTGCATCGTATGGGCCTCCTCTAATCACTCAAACGGAAAACGAGAGTGCTTCGCAGACGGAGAGCCTCACTCCTTCCACGAACATGGCGGTTGGAGATGAAATGCAAGAAGGTGGGTATGCAGACCGTGCAAGTGAGGTGCAAAAAGATTCCGATGAGATGATGAAGGTGTTGGAGGAGGTGGAGAAGGAGGCAAAGAGGAAGCTTGAGGGATCAACCACGTCCCAAACGGTGATTAATTGTATTTCGTACAATGATGAAGGGCTAGACGTACATGCAGAGGGGAGCGATGACAATGAGGATGCAAGGAAAAATGTCGATGAACAGAAGGGAGTGGATGACGAAGGTCGACCTGCGAGACGGTCGACAAGAAAAATAAAGAGAAAACACCCGATTAATGTGTAGATATATGCGGAGGCTGAGTTCGGGTTGGCGTGACACTCTGTGTATGTGTGTGAATGTCTATACGTAACTCATATAAATATTTTCGGCTGGAGACGTATGCTATAATAATTGATTCCGCAGTGAATTGGAGAGGACATCAGATAACAGTGTCAATCATAATCTCTCTCTCTCTTTCTCTCTCTTTCTTTATCGCTCTCTCCCTCTCCCTCTCTCTCTCGCTCTCTCTCTCTCTCTCCACTCTCTCTCCTCTCTCTCTCTCTCTCTCCCTCTCTCTCCATCTATCTATCTCTCTTTATCTATCTATCTATCTATTTATCTATCTATCTATCTATCTGTCTATCTACCTGTCTATCGATCGACTTATCAATCGATGAATATAACAAAAGGGTGACTAATAAAGAGGAATGTCTTTCCATATATATGCATTGTGTCATAAAACACTGGTAATGCGTTCGATGAATATAATGAAAGGATGTCATTGGTCAAGGAGTTTTTTGGATACTCGCTCGATTAGGCTAGTCCCTCGAATGCGATTGATATATAAGATGAAACCGTATTGAAAAATCGGATAATGGAGTGTATAACATGTTATTTGTTAAAATAGGACATTGTATTTTAAATTGGTACTTGCAAACAATAAATTACATGTTGAAATCACCGTATTTTGGACTTAAATAGAGTCAGACCTATTCTCATCATGTTGTGACTTGCATAAATTGAACTTAGGGGGAACAACCTTCAAGGCATAGACATGGTAAACGAGATGGTTTAAGTATGGATTCCAATGCACTTCGATGCCTTATGTACTAATTTAAAAGACATAACAGAGGGACTTGCAAAAATTGTAGAATTAACTTTGAGACAATCACACGGTAAACGAGTCTCAGATGGTTTAAGTATGGATTTCATCGCACTTCGATTGTAATTAAATTAAATGTATTAAGTTAATCTTAAAAGACGTTATTAGACTTGCATAAAATTAATTGGAACTCAATTGAAGAGTTCACTTTGAGGCAATCGTATGGTAAACGAGATGGCTTAAGTATGAATTTTATCGCGCTTCGATAATTTATGTCCATGATTTTTGTTACTTAAAAATCATAACTGCCATGTCATTGTCACACATTCAAATTCATCATCCCCATTCATGTAATGAGACATTGAAGAAGAAGGTTGTGAATGACTTCAGAGTCTGCATCAATTTTCTACGAATTTTGTATAGCACTTTGCATTATAACTGGATGTATTTGACATGATATGGTGTCAAGCAGGAATTGGAAGGCAATGAAAGAGTCAATGCAATCATACGACAAACGAGATGGTTTATGTATGGATTCTATCGCAGTTTGACAAATTGTCATAAACTGACATGATATTGTCATGAACGTAAGGGAAGTGAATAGCACGTCTTTCATCGCACATCAAGAAATATCGTAATCATGAAATATTAAAAGTCAAAAATCATATGCACAGTGTCACATGCACGAATTTGTAAACCCAAGATTGAAGCTCGTATTTCATCCTTACAAAATTGTTGACACCTATCAAGGACCTACCGATGGTGTCACGTACAGAACATGCCACTTGCTCAACCTCATGTCACTTACTAAACTCATACATTTCATTGCCAATCTCCAAATCGGACTGTCCGTTCTCGTGCAAAAGACACAGATTGCTCGTACTATGACCATTGATTATAAGCTCGTTGCAAGTAACTAGCACTACAGCGTCTACCAAAGTCCACTTTCGGTTCGAACATCCCACACACAACACTCTACACAAATTGTAACTGAAAGTAACCAAAGACATCCGTATGCAACAGTAGGACACATTCTGTGGCCGTATTCCTGCACCGCGCAGCGGATATTCTTCCAAAAACGGATTGTAGGATGCACAATCTAACAACTCTTGTATGAAGTCCGTAAACCACACGCGAGGTGACCTTGTAACGTTCTCCAGACGAAGGTAAAACCGCTTATTCGTTTCCTCTCCCAGTGCAGCTTTCAGGGACGGGAGTAGCCTAATGCCCACAGCATAATGGGGCACTTTGATTAGGCTCCCCCACTCCAACGAGGAAGCAAACTTGTACTCCTTGTGCCATTGACATTTTCTTGCCAGGATCGCTCGATCCCATTCTGCCTCAGTCCAAGCATCGAGAGGTTTGTCCAGAAAGGGGGCAACACTCATCCATGGGTCGTCTTCGAACTCCTTTGTCATTGACCCAATAATTTTTGTATCTTCTCCAGCACCACGCAATCAAATTGCGCAAGGGCGAATGGGATACGAATAATCATGTTCCATTTCTTATGTCCCACAGCCTACACAATACGTGATATGCACACGAGCGAAAACGAAATATCAGTAAAGTAGAAACATCACTATATGATGAAGTTAACTTCAAAAATTGCTTTACCACCACCCAACCATCCAAAAAAACATCAACCCTAAACGGTTCACAAAATCTGTCACCTTGTCATATAACAGACCCATCGCAATTCACAAAGTCAAAAGAGTATATAGTCCCTTTCCGAATTCCCGTCCAAACAGTAAGTTTGAAAAATCCTACTCCCTCACCAATCAAGCAGACGGAATAGGCCTATGACGTGCAATCGTCGCTTTTGTCCACTGCATCTAAACTCCCTTCAGCAGATGGACTCAGATCTTGAAGTGCAGCTTCAACATTCTGTCGAACCTTGGAAATAACAAGTCAAGTCGTGAATGATTTTGCACCTCTGGCTGGTCTCTCTCAACCAAAAGCAATCGAGTCGCATGCTGCCATTGTGTCTGCTCAATCATCTTCCATCTTTTCTCCCACGCATTATCGTACAGTTCTTGGAGCGACTTTGCTCTCCCAGTCGGCACCCAGTATTCCACTAACACTTGATTATAATTCTTCGAGTCTCTTTCAGCAATCACCCGAGAAAGAGCTTTGCCTACCCAGATAGGCACGCCGCTTGACAGATCATCGTCCGAGGGGCGAAGGATAAGAATAGTGTCAAGTCAACATGCACGATGGGGTCGAAACTTGTCTTCGGACGATCTTTTCGTCGTCCAACGAACAATGGTTGCCTGTCGTCGACGTCAGGTCTGGTAGGAGAAGGTTGTTCACCGCTTTCGAGCACTCGTGCTTTTGGCCAAAAGTTGTGTAGAGGTTCTGAGGACACTCTTCGGGCGATGATCTCGTCACCATGTTCGATGACCTCCTCCCAGTAACGCAAAGCTCTTTCTCTCCTACTCACCTCATGGTCGTTGTAAGTGCACCATGTCAATCGTCTGTTCTCCTGCAACTCGCGGAATCGAATAACACCGTTTCTGCCATTCTTATAGTCATTTCGTCCCTCGGGTTGCACCGCAGGCGGGTCAAATGGGCACGAAGGATCGGCGTAGCTTTCATCAGCGTTTTGATTGAACCAATAAATCGGACCTTCCTCCGGCAACCACTTGTCGTCATCGCAAAACTCCTTGTACAGCATGCCCGGATTATCTCCAACCATAAAAAATTTAAGCAAGTGCGGTTTCGAAATACTAGTAATGTTTAATGCAACGCACGGGTCAACGATACTAATCTAATTGGCCATTGTATCGAGGAAAATGCATTTGGGAGGCTTTTTGTGAGATTGCTCTATGAGCTCGAAGAACTCGTCCGTAGTATAAGCATCTAAATCTTTTAATTTCTTCGAGAAAACGCTGAACGTAGCATCAACGTCTGTGTGGGTATGTCCCACCAGCATGAAACCTATTTCGACCTCTTCGAAAATTTTAACTCAACCAAGAGTGCAGCTTGTGCACATCTATACTTGTTTTTGTTTTCCCGCCAACAATTATCTGCTTGAATGCTCAGAAAGGGTGGCAGTGATTTCTCGCTCGCTTGAATTTCGACAGGGGTTCTCATAAGACAAGAAGCGAATGTGTTCGAATCGTGTTTGAAATACGGAAACAATGTGTATACATATATGCTAGGGTCTCTACCGTGTGCAATGACGCCTGTCAGATTTGTCTTCATCATCATCTCGTGCCTAAGTACTTTCGAGTAGTTAGCCTGACCAATATGGGGGATAGTGGTCTTCTTCTGATCCATGCCATCAATGATGAGGCACAAATGCTCGTTCGGACGGACCATTGAATCAGTTTTCGATCCACTATAGTCCAATCTGTGTTCAACTTGCGTCCTTTGATGAGCTTTCATATCCTCTCGAGCTTGTTCCCGATCTCCAGGAAGAGCGGCGTATTGTACACGTTCCTTCAACTCATGACACACGGCATACTTTGTGAACGTGTTAGAGTGCGCGAGGGAAACATGGAAGAAGTGTTTCGGCAAACTTTATAAAAGTTAGACTCAGACACGACAGTGACGCCGACTGCCAGAAAGTCCGATTTGATGGACTCATAAATTGATCTTTTCGTAAAAGCAGTCGGGAGTCGAAGTTTCGGTCTGGAAACCCCACCTACAGTACCCACCTCGTTCGGCATGCTATCCGCATGACAGTCGATGAACATTCTCATTGTTGCAAGCATGACAATTGTTTTTTCGGTTGGCCGATATCTACCCGTCAGGCCATGCTCGGCACGCACAAAGTCATTGTCAAAGCATTTTTTGTAGCTGTAAAACGTATTACGTGAGGCACCGAGTACATTGCAGTACGTCTTGACGCACATCAAACGATCCAACTCAACAGGGCGGACACATTTTTGTCCGCTCTCATTTACTGTGAAATCCTTTATACTTTTCATCCACCACTCAGCTCGCTCTACCAGACTCTTACTGTATAGTCCTTATCTAACCTTTTGCACTTCCTCAAGCGATACGTTGTAACAACAGCGAGCCTTGCAACATGCCGCGCACCATGAACAGTCTTTTTTCGGAGAGCATGTTTCTCGCTCTCTTGTATTGGTCTTTCCTCCTAGGGTTCCTATTAGCCATGCTGTACGTTCGTCTTTCGCCTGGCAGAGGTGCGGGCAGAATTTGTTGTATCGCCCTTCTCTCTGCATCACCCCTGCCAGACGTTTCCGACTCAGACTGGCTCTGAACTGGAATCGAATGATGACTTCGCACTTGCGTTGGACTCGCTCGCGTTGCAGA